AAAGGAGTTGGGGGGGGGGGGGGGGGAGGCAAACAATTAACAAGATGGACAGACAGAGAGGGCGTTAGGGGCGACAGAAACAGTTTTTTTCCACGCGGGTGGCCGGTGAGTTTCCCCAGACACTAAACCATACATGCGTTTTGTGGAAAGGCGCAGATAAATCTGTCTCTTGCTTCTGCAAGAAACGAAGAAAAAACAAATAAAAAAGACACATCCCTGTGCCAGTAAGCGGCAGACAAGAAGTTGATCTACGAGTACTTGCTGCCGGCAAACACGGGCCCGCACCCCTGGACCTTCCCCCCCCCAACACGCATCACTCTTCGCTAACCGCGAAAAAAACTCCCTCGCAAACTCACGTGTCTTGCTCCCCTCCTCCCTTCGCACTCGGTCCGCTTTCCACATCGCCAGGCTGCCATGCTACGTGCCTGTCGTACTCTTCCCAGCTCGGTTCCTCCCCCTCGAAGTACCCGTAGCTGCTGGACCGCGGAGACGTCCGCCCAAGTCCACCGGCAACTCCTCCTTCTCCTGCTGCTGCCGGGTTGCCCACGCCCGCCTGCGAGCCGCCGCCGCCCGGGGTCCGGTCGTGGCCTCCCGGGGGCGACGCCGTTATAGGGGGGGGGGCGTCGAAGGCGGCAAAAAGGTCGCTCGACAGTTCGCCCGTGGCGACGGCGGTCGGGCTCGACAGCCGAGGTTTGGGGGGAGTGGTTGCTGCGGGGCCCCTCTTTGGACCGTCGAAGTCGCCGAACATGTCACCAGAGAGCTCGCCAGACGCTACAGTAGCAGCAGCGGCGGTCGAAGCAGCGGCCGTCCGTCGGGGCGGTGCAGCATCAAAGCCACCGAACATGTCACCAGACAGCTCGCCAGACGCTACTGTAGAAGCGGCGGCGCTGGAAGGAGCAGTAGCCTTCGGTCGGGGTGGCGCTGCATCGAACCCACCGACCATATCACCAGACAGCTCGCCCGACGCTACCGTAGCAGCAGCCGCGGTTGAGGGAGAAGCCTTCGGTACGGGAGGTGCAGCATCGAATCCACCGAACATATCGCCCGACAGCTCGCCAGACGCTACCGTAGCAGCGGCGGCGGTCGAAGCAGAAGCCTTCCGCCGGGGCGGTGCGGCATCGAACCCACCGAACATATCGCCCGACAGCTCACCGGAAGCTACGGTAGCAGCAGCGGCGGTCGAAGCAGAAGCCTTCCGCCGGGGCGGCGCGGCATCGAACCCACCGAACATGTCACCAGAGAGCTCGCCAGACGCTACCGTAGCAGCGGCGGTCGAAGCAGAGGCCTTCCGCCGGGGCGGCGCGGCATCAAACCCACCGAACATGTCACCAGAGAGCTCGCCAGACGCTACCGTAGCAGCGGCGGCGGTCGAAGCAGCAGCCTTCCGTCGGGGCGGTGCAGCATCGAATCCACCGAACATATCGCCCGACAGCTCACCGGAAGCTACGGTAGCAGCGGCGGCGGTCGAAGCAGAAGCCTTCCGCCGGGGCGGCGCGGCATCGAACCCACCGAACATGTCACCAGAGAGCTCGCCAGACGCTACCGTAGCAGCGGCGGTCGAAGCAGAGGCCTTCCGCCGGGGCGGCGCGGCATCGAACCCACCGAACATGTCACCAGAGAGCTCGCCAGACGCTACCGTAGCAGCGGCGGTCGAAGCAGAGGCCTTCCGCCGGGGCGGCGCGGCATCAAACCCACCGAACATGTCACCAGAGAGCTCGCCAGACGCTACCGTAGCAGCGGCGGCGGTCGAAGCAGCAGCCTTCCGTCGGGGCGGTGCAGCATCGAATCCACCGAACATATCGCCCGACAGCTCACCGGAAGCTACGGTAGCAGCAGCGGCGGTCGAAGCAGAAGCCTTCCGCCGGGGCGGCGCGGCATCGAACCCACCGAACATGTCACCAGAGAGCTCGCCAGACGCTACCGTAGCAGCGGCGGTCGAAGCAGAGGCCTTCCGCCGGGGCGGCGCGGCATCAAACCCACCGAACATGTCACCAGAGAGCTCGCCAGACGCTACCGTAGCAGCGGCGGCGGTCGAAGCAGCAGCCTTCCGTCGGGGCGGTGCAGCATCGAATCCACCAAACACGTCCCCCGATAGCTCACCGGAATCCGCCGCTGCTGCGATGGTGCCTGCCTTAGGCTTCATCAGCGTCCCCGGGGCTTTGAACCCCGCACCCCCTCCCCCGCCGGACAAAACATCGCCGTCACCCCCCGCGGCCCCGTTCTCGGGACTGGCCCGCCGGGCGAGCTGCCACTCGGCGAGCTCCGCCGCCCAACCCCCGCCGGCGTCGCTCCCGAGCACCTCCAGCGCCGATATTTCCATCCCGTTCCGGGCCAGGTGCTCCGCCGTGGCCAGGCGTACGGCCGCGGCCCGCCGCGCGTTGATCAGCAGGGGGTCTCCCGCCGCCCCGTCGCCACCGCCGCCGGCCGCCGCCGCCGCTACCGTCGACCTGTCGCGAGCGGGTTTACCTCTGCTCTCGATCTGCCGGAGCTTGGACACGAGGAAGGGTCTCATCGCGACGTCGATGGCGCGGTTGCACAGGCCGAGACCCGACAAATTGTCCGCCGCCACTGTTGAGGAAATCCCCCCCGCGGGGGCGGCGTAGGAGCCGCCCTGGTGGCCAGAGGCGACGAGGCCACGGCACAGCGCCCGGAGCGCTCGGTCCGGCTGCCCCAGCCAGAACAGGGTGGCGCACTCCAGGAATGGGTTGCGCTGGAGAGGGGATGATGATCGCTGCTGTCCCTGCGTTGGCCCATCCCTGAAAAGGTTAGAGGCAACGGGACGGGTGCGGGGGAGGGGGGGGCATCATCAACGTCCTTTAAAGCAATATGCGCACACCATGGGGGCGGGCAGGAGTGCGCTGTTGCTGCTCGTGGTGATTGGCTGAGTTCAACGGCTCTTTTTCAGCGGTCGCTTGAGAGCATACCTTAAGCGTCGCGTCACCCGTTTGTCTCACTGTCACTCGCCCGGTTGCCCCTCCTTCAGATGGCACATCCTCCTCTATTCCGCTGCCAGTTTTCATCGCAGTACTGTCTCCGTACGCTCTCTGTCTCTCTGTCAGCCTTTCTCTCTGCTCTGTCTCTGTCTCTGTGCGTCTCTCCCTCTCTCTCTCACACACACTCCCCCTCTCCCTCTTTCTCATTCTCTTCCTTTCTACAATTGTAACGCTCTCACTCACCCGGTCTCGCCATCAAACACCGGCAACAACTCGTCCCGGAGCAGCTTCCTAGAGGCGCCCCCGATAGACTTGTACGCAGCGGCGGCATCGCCTCCGGCATCATCACCCTCACCACCACCACCACCACCGCCGCCGTTCAAACCCCGACCAAAGCCCCCCCCGCGACCGAAGCCCCCGCCGAAGCCCCCCCCGCCGCCGGGGGCACCGCCGTATCCACCCACACCGCTGAATCCGCCGAGAGAACCGGTCGTTCTCGGGGACGTTACCGCTCCACCTCCGTCGCGGATCTCCACCAGCCGCGCGATCAGCAACGCCAGCTGGAGGTCCTTGACGTGCATCAAGATTACCTTCAATCGATCGGGACGAGTGACAGCAATGATAAATCAATCGGAAAGGGGTATCTGCTAGTTGTATCTTGGTACGAGAAAAACGAGGGGGGCCGCAAACGGCGGTAAGGAGGTGTACGGTACGCCGAGACGAAATCCCGAACCTCTTTGCCTGGAAACTTCAGCGAGCGTCGCACCAACTCTTCTACCACGGACACTGCAAAACAAAACCTGTGGTTTGCACATCTCTCCCGCTATCGCTCGGCTTCCCGGGCCCGCACAACCCGGTTTCTTCCCCCCTTTACCTGCAACGCCTCCTTGACCATGGCGGGCCTTGGCAGAAGAAACACCGCCGCGGCCGACTTGAACTTCCTCTTCCGCAGGAGTACGTAGGCGTTCTTCTCCGCGGCTGACCGTCCCCGCGGGGAGCTGAAGTCGTGCGCGAGAAGCTTCTCTAGGCGCTGGCCCTGGGTGGCGCCTTGAGCTGGCCAACGGTAGGCAAGGGGGGAGGGGGGGGGCATGCTGGGACATCAGTCAGGGTGGGGGGGAGGTCACTCTGGCCAAAACGCGGGACCCGCTTCGAACCCATCGCCCATCAATTCAGCTCGTGGCCCGCTTTGGTCCACTGCTGCGGAGTGAACCCAAAAGAAGCACCACCCTCCGCTTATTGAACTGCAGCGCCATCGCCTCTGCACAGCTTGCCCCTGCGCCCAAACCACTATCAACAGCGAAGCCTGTCGTGCTGATTACATCAGTACAAGCGTTTGTGTGTTTCGAGTGTCACCTGACGCAACCACGATGTTCACTTCTCGGTCACCGACCGCTTATTATATTCTTCTAGTTCTCACATCGTCCGCTGGTGGAGTTGATGTCGCCCTCTCCCCCGCCGAGGTTCCGCTGACCGACGAAACCTCTGTCCGCCTTGGCCAAGGCCAAAAGCTTCTTCTCCTTACCGAGAGCCGCGAAAAACATGGCAGCCTGACCAAGACCAAGACCAAGACCAAGACCAACAACAACAGCAACGGGTGCAGGCAGAAGGGATACACACGGCCGCAAGTCTGAGCATAGAAGAGCGGGCAAGGCACGAACAACCCGGTGGGAGGGGAGCCTGCCCCTTACCTACCCATCCACACTTGTTCCTTGCTGAGAACAACCGGGCGGCAAGGAAACGAATCGACGTCCGCCGAGGCATCACCGAACAACAACGTGGGATCATTGCGGTGTAACTTAAATAGGCTCAAAACGAGCCCAGCATCCAGCCGGTGTTCCTCCCACTAACTGTAAAGACCTCAACACATGCCCTTCGACTGTGGTTATGTCTCGAACGGGTATAATACTAGTCTTTCTGTCATCACATGTATTTGTTATAAAATGACAAAAACGGGCCTTGCAAAAAAGGAAACGCCTCACTCACCGCCATGAGGTCCCTGTCCTGCAGGAACGTAGCGGACGCCACGGACTCCGCCACCCTCTGCAGCTCCGCCGCGTCTCGCACCCAAAGAGGCAACAGCATCGCCGAAGCATCGCTCCAGGCCAGCCCCGGGCCCGTCGCCACCGCCGCCACAGCCCCTCCGCCTGCCTTCGGGCACAGGACTTCCAGCACTTCCTTCTGCGTGCCGCTGGGCGCCAGCAGCATGGCCAGCGCCGCGGACGAAGCTATCCCCGCTTCGACGGCGGCGGCGGCGGAGGCGTTCTCGCTACCGCCCCCGGCGCTGTCGCCGAGCCGCAGGCGCAACCCCCGCGTCAGGAGGAAGACGTTGGCGTAGTCGTCCATGTGGTTCGTCGTCGCGATCACCGCCGTTGGCGGCATCGTGCTGCCGCTCCTGACGCCCGGGATATCGGTCGAGGAAGACGCCGGTGGCGAAGACGCCTTCGAGAAAAGAGCGGCCGCGGTGTTGTCCCCCGCGGCTGGCCTTGCGGCGGACGGCGCCACCGCAGGAGAAGGCCCGCTAGCGTCGGCCTGGCCGAGAGCAACGTCGAGCAATGCGGACAGGGCGGACAGCTCGGCGCCCGACAGGCTGAGCAGGCGGCGGGGGACCCCGGCCGCGGTGGCGGTGTCGGCGACGTCGCGGGCGCTCGCCGGGATGGGGCCGTCGCCGGCGGCGGGGCTCTTGACCGAGTGCCGAGGACGGCGGACGGCAGCCGTGAAGCCACTGCCGTTGCTCCCGGGCACCGGGGACCCCCGTCCGTCCGTAGCAGCGTTCTCTGCCTCCAAGCGGCAGCTCAGGTAGGAGGCGAGGCAAGCCTTCAGACTCCCCAGGTGGTCGTCGCCTTTCGACGCGCCATCGCCTCCTCCTGCTCCTCCTCCTCCTCCTCCGCCACCGTGCTCCAGCAACGGCACCACCGTCCCGGCCACCACGCCGCTCTCCGACCCCTCGGCGTCCTTTGAGACCCACCGCAGGACAGACAGGGTCCGCTCGCGCCCCTTCTCCCAGCGGTGCCCTTCCTTCGCACCCCCACCGCCCGCCACCAGACTGGTACACCACAGGGCGGCCAAGCTCTCCGGGTGCCAGTCCTCCAGGTGTCTACCGTCCCGCGTAGCGCCGCCCCTCAGGCCCGCGATCTCGTCCCGCAAGAGTGGGAGGGGGAACGGCGGCCGGGAAGGACCAGACGAACTAGTGCGAGCCATCGCCGGGTCCGGCTCCCCTTCGGCAACCGTGTCTGTGGCCGCCACCGCCGCCGCCGCCGGCAGCGGTTTCACGCCGCGGGTGCGGACCAGAGCCAGGGCGAGGTTGCGTTGGTACTTCGCCATGAGTCCCTGCGGATGGGGGGGTAGCGGGGGTGGGGGATGTGGGAATCGGGGCGAATATGGCACAAAGACAAAAAAAAAGCGGTACCAAAGGCCTACATTACAGCTTACAATGTTCATGACACGTGGTTTCGCTAGCGAGTGCGGCAGGCACAACAAGCCGGGCAAAACAAGCCGTGTTGTGAATTATGCAGGTCATGGCGAGCGGCTTGAACCGGCATCGTGCCGTTGCATGGAGTGAACTTGCACGCAAGACGTCGTAAGCACCACACAATCTGTCACACCACGAACATTCCCCTCGCAATACTCAGTAAAGAGGGAATGGACTGCTACACCTTTTCTCGCGTTAAAAAACCCTACCAAGGCATGTAGATACCGCAGGCCAAGACCCCATGTACAGTCGTGGCTCCGATATAAGAGGGTACCTTATATACGAGGGGGCTCCGATATAAGAGGGTCCAAATCGGTTGTCACGACTATAGTAAGTATAGTACTTATTCCGGTATAAGAGGGGGCTCCGATATAAGAGTGTGTCGAGCCGTTGTCGCACCACCCTCTTACAACGGAGCCACGACTGCACGCACACACATGCAAGGAAAGAAACAACATCCCCCGTTGCTCACCTGGCAGAAGTCGCGGAGGCCGGCGGTCCTGCAGGCAAGCAGCGAAGACGGGCTCGCCACTCGAAACACCGGGGACCAGACCCAGCCCTCTTCGCCTCCGCCCCCCCAAAGACCGGGCAAGACAGCGTGGGACCACCGCTCCCTGGCCAGGATCGTCACGGAACCCGCAACGGAGACGCACAGGCAGTGTCCGCTGACCGCGGCCCCCCTGTCGTCGCCGGCCTCCGGCGAAACCCAGCACATGCCCTCCACCGCCTGGATCCCGGGCAGAGCCACCGTCCCGTCCTTCTTGAACCGACGAAGGGGGTACGGCGTATCGGAGCACGACCACACCTCTATGCTCGCCGGGGGCTCCGTAGTTTCCGCCGCTAGCTCCTCCGACCTGACGCTGCTCTCCCGGAACGATCGCGCTGGCGTAAGGGCACGCTGCGGCTTCCACGGTCGTTCGGTCGATCTCGCGACGGCCAGGAGGTTAGGGGAAGCCACCGCGATCAGGGGAGCGGGAGTCGCCCTGTTCGAAACGCCGACGCCGTCATCGGGGTCCTCCTCCCCGCCCGTCGACGACGCTCCGAACGGGTCGCACAGATCAACCGTGCTAAGGGTGAAACTTGTTTCTCGCTCATCATCCCCGCGAGGTAGGCTTCGAGCGATACACCAGCGTCGAACCCGCCCGTCCTCGCACACCGCTTCGGCCAACGCCCGCCCGCGTACGCCCGGAGGCGTCTTCTCGAGGTTGAACGACAACGGCTGCTGCCCCGCCCCTAACGGAGCTCGACACAGCTCCACCACCGACACCCCCCCCACCCCGGGGGCCGCCTTCACCAGCAACGCAACCACGGAGCCCCCGCTCTCCGCCGGCTGGAACCCCAGGAGTAGCGCCTCCCGCACCCTCCTCTCGTCCCCTGGCGGGTACACGCCGATCTCGGTCCACCGGTTGCCGCCGGCCGGCAAAGCGCCGCTCGGCGCCCCCGGCCCGACACCCCCAAGCGCCGCCACGCCGCTCCCCAGCCACGGCAACAAGACGCACGTCTCGAACGCCGGCACCTCGTCGCTGCTGCCGATCGGGTGCCAGCGCAGGGCGTGCTGGTCGGCGTCTGTGCTTGCCCAGCCGGCGGCCGTCGATCCCTTGGCCGACCCCCGACCCGACCCGCGCGCCCTGGATTTCTTCGAGTACCACCCCGTCCGCGGCTTGGGGCTGCCGCTCTTGGAGCTAGGGCGCCGAACCCTTTTTAAATTCGCCGCCGGTGTGGCTTCCCTGAAGGTGAGCTCGAGGGATACCGCCCCGCCTTCCATGTTTTCCCGCCTTGCCTACGGGGGGGGGGGGTTCGCGGATAGCGAAGTGAGACTCTGGATGCGCCCATGGTGACGCGCTACCGCACGCGGGGTGGGGTTGGCGAAAGGGGCAGAATCGTGTTGCTTCCTTGTTATCTCAACAGGCGCACAGCGGTCGCCTTGACGCCATCTCTAGAGCCATCGGATTTAGGGCATTTCGAATTTTTCGAATCCCGGCCCCCTTCCACGTACCTCGACATTACCCACTGGCGCTGATGTCGTCTTTTCATTGGTCAGTCGGTTAGCGCGGTCGATGCTAACAATAAAAGAAAAACACACCTGGCGAATAAGCGCCGTTGCTTCCTCCGCGTTAAGACCCTCGACGCTATGCCCGTTGATGTCCACAAGCTCGTCTCCCGGGCGCATCCTCCCGCTGGCCTCCGCCGGGAGCATCTCGCTAGTGTCCGGGTGCCTGACGAAGGTCGACACGTTCACCTAAGGATTGGATCGCAGCAGCGGTCGTCGTAGCAACGAAACTTAAAACAACACAAAAAAAAGCTTGTCGCCACACGGAAAGGCGACATCTTCGCCTAAGGATTAGATCGCAGCAGCGGACGTCGTAGCAATGACAAAATATAACACAAAAGAGCTTGTCTCCAAACGGCAAGGCTAGGAGCTAGGACTGTGTCGACACCTCCTCCTATGAAGAATAGGTCGCAGCGGCTGTCGTACAGAAGAACACAAAACATATTGCTTCCAAACGGAAAAAAAAAGAAGAGTTTCTTGGGGGTCGACACCTCCATCTAACGTACTTTTAAGATCGAAGCGGTCGTCGAAACAACAGAAAAAAAAAATATTGTTTCCAAACGACAAGAAAAGTTACAGTGTCTTGGGGTCGACACCTCCACTTATAAAGATTACATCCCAGCGGCCATCGCTGAGAGTAGCAACAAATAAATCTGTTTGTTTCCCAATGGAAAGACTATTAAGAGTGTCTCGTCGAAAGATCGGCCCTCGTTAGTGGCGGCGCACTCCAGCGCAAGCAAACGGCACATGAGCGACAACCACGAAGACATCCAACCCATACCCATGCATCACAGGCTTTTTAGGTCCCCAACCTACATCACAGTCGTCCAGGACACTCCGCCATCAGCCCCGGAGTAACGCTTAGCGATGAGTGCGTCAGCGATTCCCCCCTTCGCTAATTTTGTTAATAGCTTCTAATAGGCTGCGGTCCCGTGTAACGTATGGTTGCACGGGACCCCAGTCGACCAAAAGCCATTAACAAAATTTAGCGGAAGGGGGAAACGCCGACGCACTCATCGCTAAGTGCCTGACTCTGGGACTGATGACCCGAGAGGAGTCTCCTGGACGATTGTGATGTAGGTTGGGGACCTAAAAAGCCTGTGAAGCGTGGGTATGGGGTGGATGTCTTCGTGGTTGTCGCTCATGTGCCGTTTGCTTGCGCTGGAGTGCGCCGCCACTAACGAGGGCCGATCTTTCGACAAGGCAATCTTAATTAATAGTCTTACCATTGGGAAACAAACAGATTTATTTGTTGCTACTCTCTGCGATGGCCGCTGGGATGTAATCTTTATAGGTGGAGGTGTCGACCCCAAGACGCTGTTATTGTTACCCTACCACAGAAAACCCGGGGGAGGGGGGGGGGGGGGGGGGGGCATGACTAAAATTCTACAACAATACAACCGCCAAGCCCCCGAAAATAACGTCTCACCCGACTTCCTTCGAACGCCAGGGTCAGCCCAAGCCCGTACTTGGAGTCCAGGGGAAGCACGACCGTCTTCTCGACGGGAGGCCTGTCGTCCCTTAACGCGGGCCCGCCGAAGTCTACCCGAGCCCGCCTACTCGTCCGCTCCTGCGGTGACGGTGACCGCTCCTTCTTGCCGTCCTGCCCGACCAGGTCCTTCATGTGGAGGTCCCTCGAGGCGTTCGACAGCGACGCCAGTGAGCCCGTCGACGACTTCGTGGGCGTCCGCTTCCCGAGCATGCCGACGAGGCTGCTCAAGCCGTCCCCGGTGCTCACCCCGCCGCCGCCGTTGGCGTCGAGGTTTTCGCCGGAGGAGGAGGCCCCGTCGTCGAGCTCGAAGACGTGGAGGCGTTTCTCGCCGTCGATCACGGCGAGGGCCGGGGGCAAGGCTTCCGCGCCTACCCAGTCCGACATCCACATCGCGTGCTCGATTGCGGCCCCGCCGCGGCCACCGCAGGCGTCGGGACTGGAATCGCCGCCGCCGGTGTTCTCGTCCGTCGAGCGGCACGCAAGGGTCACGCTAGGCAGGGCGTACGGCACGAAGGACAGCTCGTCGCCGGACCTGACCTTCTGGGCCAGCTCGCCCAAGACGGGCGCGAACCTGCCCTTGGCGTCGCTGCTGCCGTCCGAGCTATCGCAACAACCCGAGTCGCTGCGGCTAACGATAACGAGCCTCTTGTCGGCGTTCCCCGGCTCCGCCCCGGCCGTGTGCCCCGGCTGCAGCCTGCCCCCGCCCCCCCCCCGCGGCTTGCAAGGTATGCACTGGAGGTGGCTCCCGCCGTTAACCCAGCTATGGACCTCCACCGCGCAGCCGCCCCCCTCCAGCCTCGCCAAGAGCGGGAGGTTCGGGTGACAAACCGCTTCGGTGGCGGCTCGCCCAGCAACCCTGGCCCTCTTTCCAGCCCCGCCTCCGGCCTCCTGCGGCGGGTCCGGCACCCCTGCCACCTGGCCCATGGGCAGCGCCACCGAGCGCGTGTTGCGGAACACGTACCTACTCCTCGAGTCGGCGCGGTGGACCCTCGCCGTGATGACGGCTATCGTGCCCCCCGCCGCCGGCGCCACGACCTGGACCTCAGCAGGAGCCCCGTCGGCTCCCTGGGCGTCGTAGTACCCCACGGCGCTCACGAGGGGCGCGGCGGCGGCCGACCACTCCTTCGAGGCGGCGGCGGCGGCCGCAGCGGCGGTGGCGGCGCCGCGGGAAACCCCGACCAGCCAGCTGAACGGGAGCGACGCCACCTCCACCGGTTCCGGGACTGTGCGGCCGTCGGGCAGCGGCATGTCCTTCAGCCGCCAGAGAAAACGCCTTTTCGATAGATGGGGGAGGGGTAAGGGTATGCGGTCGGGTTTCGTGAGGTTCACGTCGTGGTGGTTCTCAAAGCGCCGAGAGATTGGTGGGTTGTGTTAAGCACGGAAAACGTGAGACGGACGTCTGAAGCTATGCGCGCCAGCGAGCCTTCTCCTTGCCGAGACATTCGACACCACCTTCCGCGGCGCGAAAGGGTTAGTCAAATTCATTACTTCAGCTTTATTATGCACAAAAGACTGCGATCGGCACACTCAAACTGTGTCACTCTCGGGAATCGGAGAAGGAACACGCGGAACTACAGCGAGAGACCTACCTTGGCGCTCAAAACTATTCTTGACTATCCCGCCCCCCCCAGGGGTGCGGGCTGGGGAACCCTCACTCCGCGCAAAGGGGATAATCGCACCACATTGTGTAAAATTGGTCAAGCACCCTCGAGGCAGTTACACAGTGCTTACAACTGTCTCTGGAAGTGAACGCACCAGAAAATAAATTCAGTCATACGCAGCTGTCATCCGTACGCAGGGAAGTAAGCACAAGATGCCGAACACCCTTAGCAGGATGCAGCGCACCCTTCATACGACTCGCCGAATACCTCACGGCGCTTCGCGCTTGGTGATGTGAGAGCCTGGTCCGGTGAGAACCCGGCGTGCTCCGTCCCGGCTTTGTAGGGGTGCGAGGTCAATGGTCTAACGACTACGGCATGCACGACTGTGAGTGCACCCCCGCCCCCCCCTCCCCCCGGGAACACACGTTCTCCATACCCCGCGGGAATCTAATGATACCCCGGGGCCACTTTCCCACCTCCCATCGTCGCCGCAACCCACGATCCAGTTGTCGCTGCGGTAAGGCCTGGCTCCACCTTCCGCCGCCTGGTCCTGCTGGTGCAGCAGGTGGTACGCCGATCCCCCCGAGGCGGCGCCCTTGTCGCGAACGAGATGTCTGCTGTGGCTGCCGAAGTACGCCCACTTGACGAAGCCCACCGACTTGAGCCTACGGTTGTGGGGTCGTGTTCACGAACGTTCGCCGCGGGGTTGAACGAAAATAGTATGCTTCGGGACTTTCACGACACCCAGATTCTTAACCGTACCTCTCGATAATTTTGCGTCTTTGCTTTTGTGCTGCTGGTTCTTGGGGGAGGAACCGAAACAAACGTGCTCGTGTCATCGCAAGGCAGAAAGTAGCAAATCTTTGTACACCCGTGTTGAGTACATATCGCGAGGACCCCTATCCAGCAAGCATGGCCAGGAGCAACACCAGCAGCGAAAACACGCATGTTGCCGCCGAGGCCCCGTCCACTATCACAGGCAAGAGACTCAACGATAGATACCAACGTCGCATCAAGCAAACCTACCGTGTCTGTGGATATTGTCTAAGCTGGCCGTATTCCTTGTCATTCAACACGAGATACAAGGAGGCGTTACTCGTCCTCGCCGCATGTGCGGAGGGTCAGGGGAGAGACAAAAGGCACCTGCTCCAGGCACCGCGCGTGCGGTAGTCTACCGTGCCACCGAACAGAGCGGTCTCACCTTAAGCTATCCCCGTACCAAGCCTTGATGGTTGCCGTCTGAGCGAACTTTATCGTCCCGCTTGCCGTTGGCATAGAATAGCGATCCTCCCATTGCTGCTCCACCCAGACATGGGCGCTGGCAAACACAAGTACGGCGCACACCGTGGTAAGGGGGAAGGGGGGGGGGCGACGCAAGATCCCAGGTGGTTGTGGAGGGTATGTGCGGCGGGGAGACCTGCCACCTTTTTGACAAGGCGTCTTTGCTTTGCAAAACGGTTGGAGGCACAACAGCAGTCGCTACAAGCACGGCTGGGCAGCCACCACCACACCCGCCATGTCCATCTTTCCCACCGGTGTGCATATTCCCAGCGCTCGCTTTGGCGGTGGAGAGAGGTCAACGTCGCAGGTGCCTGCACCTAAGACGAATGCGAACCACCAAGCCTGATAACCCGCGGCGCAATACCAAACAAAGGTCATGTATGCATGCCCCCCATTCCAATATATTCCCCGCGTGTTAGCCATTGCGCCGAACAAAAAAAGGCCGTATGAGTCCCACACCTTCCGTTCTCGCCGAGAGTGAGCAAGTAGTCCTGCTGGGCGCCGGGCCCGCGCCCCCACACCACCTGCACCAACGGCCCGTCGTTGTTCAGCACCGTGGCGGGCTGAAAGTTCCACGCACCATCGTCGTCGGTCGCGTCCTCCCCGCCCTCGGCCCCCAGCCCCGCAACCGGGGCGGCAGAACCGTTCCTAGCATCGCCCCGGCCGTTCGCCCCCCAGGGCTTGCCGTACCCCGGCATGCTTCTTCTGCGGAGCCAGACCGTGACCTCATCGGTGCCCTTATAGGCAGCCGCGAACATGCACCCGCAGGGGGAGGTGGCGAGGGCGACGAAGCCGGGGGGGCGTTGCAGGCGGCGGTCAGACGACACGCCTCCCTTTCGCACCCACTTTCGAGAGAGCCGGAGGGAGTTGCGGTAGACGGAGCGAGGCCCGAAGGGAGACGAGGACGACGATGACGGTGCCTTCTTTTTGGGCACTGAATCGTCTTCGTCGTCGCTGCTGCCGCCGCCGCCGCCGCTGCTGTCGGACTCGTCCGAGGAGAAGGTGTTGGCGTTGGCGCTGGGAACCGCGGGGTTGTTGCTCCAGACGCTGATCGCCTGTTGCGCCCAGGTTGGCGACGAGAGAGAGAGAGAGAGAGAGAGAGAGAGAGAGAGAGAGAGAGAGAGTCATCCAATGATGAAGAGAGCCAAAAACGGCAGTTCGTCGCTAAATGTGCCGCACCGGCAAGGGCGCGCCACGGTCGAAGAAAGCGGGCTATCTTGTAGTATGTCGTGAAGACTTCCAGGGATGCTTTCTCTTGTGAATGGTCTTGAATAGCGTGCTTGTGGACGGCTGCATCTTGCACGCATAGATTCGACGATAACCCCGCGTGCCTACAAAAATATCGAACTGTAATCGTCGACTGCTGCACGGCGTCGGTTCCATGGACGCTTATCTCGCGAATGGTCTTAAATGGCGTGCTCGAGGACGGCTACATCTTGAACCCACAGGTTAGACAATAACCCCGAGTGCCTACAAAATTCTCAAAGTGTCGGCGTCGGTTTAACACGAATACGACGCTAGCCCGTAGGTCACCCAAGGCCACCGCATGTGCATGTACAGTAGTAGCATTTTTTTTTTTTCTTAACCCCTTTGGGTCTAGGCTGGACTGTCAGATTTTTTTTTTGCGCCAACTTGGCGCCAAAAAAAAAAAATGAGAGCGAGAGCGAGCGGGAGAGAGAGAAGTGCAGAGAAAGAGACCAGTGTACTTCTGCACACGCAACAGCTATCTCCACCTGTAGGCCATGAGAGAAGCCGGCGACAGGGTGGTGGCCACAGACAGGGTCGTAGAAGGGTTGGTGGGTGGTCGCGCTGCGGTCAGTAGGGCAGGTTAGCTGTGTAGCCTTTGAAATGATCAGTCGTCTAGCTGCCTCAACTAGTCTATTTTCGGTATATTGTAAATGATCAGTCCAGAGAGGGCAAAATGATCAGTGAAGACCCATAGCTGGTATTTGTACTTCTGTACTTCTCTGTTCTCTGTCCCCCCCCGAAATGTGCCCTGCCAACTCTCTAGAGCTCCTGTGTTTTTCAAACAACAAGCACATCCACCAGCACACACCTGTACCTCGTGGTTTCCTAGGTTCGGGCGAGGGTGGTATGTGTGGCGCTACGAGTGTGGATGTGTTGCTGATATGTTTTACTCGTCTACAGCAGTAGTATTAGTGTTGTTGTAGCGTTCGTTGTAGCTGTTGACACAATGACTGCTGGATCTTGGGAACGATTTTCAAATTGTTGGGAACCACGATATCCTCGATATCTGGGCTTCGGCAGGGACTGCAATACCCCTCCCTTTTGCTGTCCTCTGCTCTTTGCAGCAGTGGCTTCCTACGTTCGGGCGAGTGTATGTGTGGTGCTTCGAAAGAACACATATATGTATGTATGTATGTACTGTATGCACACACGCGTTCATTGACATGTGCATACGTTGAGAGATTCATGATTTGGCATTGATTGGCCCCATTCCCATTCCCGTGACCTTGATGTTACCCGCTGTCACTGAAGTCTCTTCATTGGTCAGCCGGTTAGCGTGGATGCTAATAATCTAGACACACCTACCCTATGGACTTGCCAATACACGGCGCGAAGGGCTGCAGGGCGGCAACTCCACGACTTGCCACAACACCAGCATTTGCAAATGATCAATCAATGATCAGTGAGAACGCCTGAAGACTCAAAAGGGTTAACATGACACAACGAATCCCGTGCCAACCACTGCTGTACTTGCCGTCAAAGCAAGGGTCTCTGATCTGCAAGAGGGTGTTACACAGTCAAAATCGTGCACGTACACGAAGCTACCATACGCAACTTTTTGCGCGGATGTAGCACAGCGAAGACACAAAGTGGGTTGGTTCCGGCGGACATGTGCGCCGGCCATTGTCACAGCAGTGCGTGACGACATGGGGGCGAACACGGACGTTATCCCAGACATGCTGTTCACACCTCTTACGATCTACGTAGATGCATACCATACGCGGACATGCTTAGGCTATGTAAACGTTATCACGAGCACTATCTACCAACGCGTGTGCGAAAACAACGGCTGACCTGATCAGCGACCACAAGAGGCCCCCGGCAAGACCATGACAGTAGAATCCTATCGCTCCCGCCGCCCTTGTGCAACGGGGAAAGGGGAACGCGAGCGGCGCACGACCAGCTATAGCGAACTCTGCTTGAGAGGTAGACCCCATCGGGGGTGAACACCGCAAGTTCAGGGCCCCTCCCTGCTAGGTTAGAAGGGGAGGAGGAAGGGAGTCGGACAAGTGTTGCAACACACAAGCGGCTGATGCTGTCCAATACCTGGCGGGGCGATATTGTTCGGTCCTTCCGCAAAGAACGACTTTGTGTATACACATCGACGATGATGGCCGGTCTATTGAGCAAGCGAGTGGGAAGTTCCTGCACAAGGTTAAGGTTTGCAGCAGTAGTACCACGCAATCACGGCCTGCACTACTATGCGTCAGTACCTCTGGTGGACACTATGCAGGACAAAGCTCCCGAGCTGCAGCCGGTGCTCGCCCCCCCCGGCTGCCAGGTCAGGGCCCGAGGCGCAGCGTCTCCCTCCGGTAGCAGAACGCGCTGAACCAGCACCAGCGCCGACGAGTCTAGGACGACGATCGATGCCGGCGATTCTGAAGGCACGGCCAACAACTCGTACCCATCGAAGTGGGTATGACTCCACTCCATCGCGTTGCTGCAGCTCGGGCCCGTTGCCCAGCGCAAGCAAGCACGCCCCCACAAGGCAGCACAAGCAACAAACAGATGCACAGGATGATCTCGCCCAGGTATAGGGGGCACGCAGATTGTACCGCACCTACCCGGATGTATCAATTCCACGTAGTCCCTTCATGGAAAACGTGTCGTCGTGCACAGCGGCATTGATTGCCCCGCAGAGAGAGTTCCCCAACGGGGGGAGGGAAGCTCGGGACGGCAGTGAGACCACAGAGAAATGGAGCAAAAAGAGGAGTGGTTCGGTGAGCATGCGTTTATTTGGTGTTATCCCCGTTACAGTGGTTCGTACATAGGTTCTCCAACAGGCTATATATGTCGAGTGAAATATTTTTGGTACAAATATCTACCAAGTTGCTGTTCTGCCCTTGCCGCGTGCATGATGGGTTGCACATCGCACAATAGGGGGCGTGTCGCTTGGAAGTGACACCGTATGTTGGGGCCTGTTGTCTTCTGCTCCTCTCGAAGGGTCAGGTTTTTCACGAGCGCTCCTAAAGTGCCGCTCGCCTTGCAAAGACGAGCAGCGTCGAACACCTACATAACATACAAAACCATATAAGCCACCCCAGCAGCAGCAACACGTCCATTGTACCCCGCGTTCCAACGCGGCTAGCTTGCTCGTGACGCGCAACGTGACTTCAAAACAGTGCTTCTCTTATAACTACCTTGGCCCTGTGGTTTCAAAGCTAAGCCGATTTTATCGAGCAGAAGCTTGTGCTGCCAAGTGGCTGCCTGCGGTGGAGTAGTACTACTGCTGTATTTCCGCAACACTCTTAAAAAATGGTCGGTCGTGCTATTAAATAATACAAACACACCTTTCGTTTCACCGGTTGCCTTTCGTTCATGTATGAACGAAATCCATAGAACCTTCCTTGTACCTCATACCTCACACCGACCCTGTACGGAAGCACTTCTTCTTCTTCTTCTGAGAGTCTTGCGAGATAAAAGCCCTCGTGGAAAGCGCTTCATGTGTCTTTTTGAGACGCAGTTGAGCTAAAAAACTCGACGCGTGGATGCATTGATACAGAAAAAACACTGCCCGCGTGAAACGTCCCGCTGTTTCCTGCCGCGTACTGGTGTGTATGATTTATTATTCCTTAATGAATACGAAGAGGAAAATCTGTCCCAGACACTTATGTTATCTCGTCTGTGGCAGAGATGAATTTGTAAAAGAGGAAGAATATAAAGCTGTTCCCTTGTACCTTTTTTCCGTGTCACCCCGCCTGGTGTGTCAGAACAAGGTAGACTGACCCTCAGGATGGATAGAGCCAAAACACACCAATACACCGCGGTTGCGACGTGAATGGAGCTAGCTCTCTGTTGCAGGGAGGGAGGGAAAGGCTCTCTCGCTGCTTCGCGCCTGTGTTGCTGCTCTCTGCAAGTTCGCCGCGAGACCTTCTTTTTCTGCGACCAGCACTGACTCTATGGAGGTGCCGGAAACGGCTCTCCCTTTTTTCTTGGTTGACAACAACGGTGGGACCCGGTTCAGCGACGACCCCTTAGTGTCGGGGGGGAATATGGTCGCTATTGCCCAGATAGCGGCTATTAGTCGGGGTGCAGCAGTGGTCCCACTCGATTTTGTGCTATTTCACTGTTCAGGGCCGGCCGCTACACATGGGGCCGCTGAACCCGGCGCACCCCAAGTATCGTGTACGACGCAAGATAACACACCCCCTGGACCGATTTTCAAAACTCGATATCTCAACAGCAGAAATGGTCGTAACGCCGAGAACGGCGGCGTTCAAGCCGTCTCGTCGTGGCGTAATCGAGCTTTGAAACTTGGCCCGGGGTGTGTGTCATCTTGCGTAGTATACGTTATGTGGACTCCTGACAGCGAATGCTACGAGCACGGTCCTTGGGTCTGCCAGCTCTGTTTCTCTTGTCACCCACGGGCGTGATACAGCGGTTGCGCACCGGTCCCATCTCTGTTGCTCTTTGGAAGAAACGTCCAAGATCCAAAGAGTTTATCCGCGTACGGTGGTGTGCTTTTTTACGTAAGAGAAAATAGACACAGCAGCTACAGAAAGGCCATCCGTTCTTTCGAGATAGTACCCCCCGATCGAAGGGGTGTGTTCACGTCTTCACAGCAATGAGTGGTGGCGTTCGTCTTGTGCTTCGTAGCATGTTCCATAGGTGCGAAATCTATGGGGTCTGTCACGGAACCGTTCCACAAAAATCCATTCGCGCGCCTCTTGGCGGTGCCGCGAGGCCAATGGTTTAACGACTACGGTATGCGTTTACATGGCGGTGCCGCGAGGCCAATGGTTTAACGACTACGGTATGCGTTTACGTGCGTTTACATGCGTTTTACATTAGTACCCCATCCCCCCCCCCCCTTCGCCCAGGCGAGGACTTCGGTCAGAAGATCGACCTCACGGTCCGAATCCGAGAGATCCTCCGAAACTACCCGGAAGGGACTTCGATCCTGAAAGAACTGGTTCAGAACGCCGACGATGCGGGCGCCCGGGAGGTGCGCCTGTGTCTCGACCTGCGGCAGCACGGGACGGAAGGGCTTCCCAGCCTGGCCCTCGCTCAGTTTCAGGGCCCCGCGCTGTTGGTGTTCAACGACGGAGTTTTCACGGACACGGACTTCCGGTAGGTTGTCTTTTTTTGTGTTTTTGGCGTGCGCGTCGTTCATGTAGCGGGTTCCTCGGTAGGGTCCCAAGCATCGCATGACATGACATACCACACCCCCTGGACCGATTTTCTAGGCTCGATTACTCCCCAACGAAGAATATGCATAAGTGAACTGATATGCTTTCGGAAAACTCTCGAAGAGACGGCTTCACCCTCTTTCTGCTGCGGAGAAATCGAGCTTTGAAAGTCAGTCCAGGGGGTATGGTATCTTGTGTCACCTACGGCGGTAGGTGGTAGGCTGGTGCATTCGGCGTGCCACATACCGCGGCATAGAGATGCGTTTGCTGTCGGAAAGGAGCGAGAATCGCTGCTTTCGCGTGTGGAAGCACCGAGTTGGATGGTCCGCTCTTTCTGTGCGGTTTTTATTGCCGCCATGCTTTGGCGGGAAGCGCTGGTACATTATAGAGCCGACCACACTCCCCGAACTTGGAACCAATAGTGGTCCTCGACCTGCCGCTCTTAGCAGGCATACCCAGGCTCCTTTTCCAAGGGTCGTGGCCCATTCGGATGCCGCTGCTGCTGTTGTCGAGCGCTCCAGCAGTACACCCTCCAAAGTTTTCTCGCCTCCCACGAGGATTCGTCTCACACTCCCGTTCTCTGCAATGTTATCGGACGCCTGCCCGCTGCCGTTACCGCTTACGGCGGTACTACGCGCCGTTTGTAGGTCCATCCAGCGGATTGGAGACTCGCTCAAGAAGGACACCTCCAAGGGCGGAAAAACAGGTACTACTACAACAACCGCTTTTTGTTCGTTTTTTCCCTTGTTCGCCGAGAGGATACTACGTTAAACTCAACACATTTGCCTGCGCTCGACGGTGGTGGCGAAATAAGAAACTCACCACCCTCCCGACACGATTGTTACGTTTCTTCTCTGCGGGGCCGCACGTGATATTACAGCTAGTTGTGGGTCCTGTATAGTGTCGGTATGTGTCCTGATATTCTACCGGCACTATACCGAAGAACGTAGATTGGGTAGAAAGAACGGAACGGCTTTTAATGTGAAGACAACAACAACAACAACAACAACAACACAACAACAACATACCGGGCCACCGGCGCTGATCAGAACATATAGGTTTTAGTATAGGAGTGGACACTCGTGTCCTGAGATTTGACCGGCACTATACCGGACTCTGTGGCACTATTCAACCGGCACTATACAGGGCCCACTGCTGTAGTCGTTACTCGTGCAATGCTCATCATCCACCACACTTGTCGGCCTGTTTTTTTTTTTCTTCTTTTTTTGAAGGTCGGTTCGGCATCGGCTTCAACAGCGTCTACCACCTGACGGAGCTGCCGGCCTTCGTCTCCGCCGGCAAGTGGTGCAGCTTCGACCCCCAGGCAAAGTTCCTGCCCAACGTGAACCCGGCCAACCCAGGGAAGATGGTCGACTTCATCAAGTACCCCGAGACTGTCAAGCGATACCCCGATCAGGTCCGTGTTTTACCGTACTGCCTGTAGCGTTGCTATCTGGGTGGGGAGAAGGCTTGGCGTCAGCTTGGTTTGTGTTTTTCGTCCCGTCTGTGCATCTGTGCGTCTCAAGGCATGTAGGTATGTATTCGTGTGAAGCACCAGCGCTGGGGGGGTCGCGCAGCTTGTTGGGGGTAACAGATCCCGTGCTGATTAGAGGTGGTGAACCATCCGCGTCGTTGGAGGGTGGTGTCTG